AATTTATAACTTAGAATATAACATTTTCCTATTTGGCATATTTATGTTATTGGATTGTGCTAATAGATGTATAAATGCCTTAGTTTTCTGCAAAAGGAAGAGAAAATATGCAAACTGCTGCATCCTATGCTAACCTAGCACTTGTATCTTAGTTCTAAGCACTGAGACGGTTCTAAGCACTGAGACAGGTGAACATAGAAAAATTAGATTCTTACGTTAAAATCTTCATAGTACATATCTTGAGTATCACCTTGCCTTAAAAAATAATTTCACTAATTCCAAAAGAGATAATATTTCATAGGATTTCCCCCTCGGTACTCCCTCAATTGTTCAATTTTTCCAAAAAGTCTTCAGCTGTGTGTGTGTCTGTCAGGGGGTGTCTCCTGATTTATCAATGGTATAATACTTATACCATGTGGACTGATGTCCCTTTGCACAGGTTGAATGATTCATCTTAGGGTCAAATTGCATGCTATGCTGCCAATGCCACTTTACAGAAGAATGTAACCATATAGAAAAATGAAGTGTGGAGTGGTGCAGGGGACCAGGAGATTCTGTCGTACCCCCACCCCGGACAACATTTCAAGTACCAAAACAGACATGCTGTTTCAGCACTTGAAAAAGTACCTGGGGATGACAAGATCACCTGCCTTCCTCCCCTGCTCCACCAGCCAGATCAGGTCTTTGAAGTTTGTTTCAGTCTGTGGACTGTATCTCCCATTTACTGGTTATATGTGCATATTAGCATTGAAACATCTTTAGGTTTTTGCAGTCATCTTGGTCTAGAGGTAGATCCTGACCACTAATCACTTAAATGAAACTTTCTATTCATTTGGTTTGAAGATTCTTCAACACATTGGGTACGTTCAGATGCACTGTTTGATCTGGTGTTGTGACAGTTCAGCAACAGATTTTATATGCACAATCACAGAGTCAACATCTGCCTCCTGTCCCCAGCCGTTGGTTTCCAGCTCAAAACTGCTTTAACCCGGAGTATTTTGTTACCAGGTCCCAAAGGGGTGTTTTCTCAGCTCTCCCGTTTAAAGCTGCATTTCCCCCCTATGTGATCGCTATGTGTCAAGCCATTTCCGGTTTAAACCCCCTCCCCGCTCGAAAGCTGCCCGAGGCTTCCGCTTTTCGCCTGCCATTTTTTTTTAGCGTCGGTGGTGCATGCATAGGCGGAGTTCCGCTACTGTCTTTAGAAAACTGACATTTAAACGGTCACTTGTTTTAGAGTTTAGATAAGTTCGGGATCTCACGGAGGCCATTTTCGGGTCAAACGTTTAAAGGAAGTCTTTTGTTGGAGGGGTTGGATTGATTTGCCCTGGTGGTTCTGCGCATGCGCCATGGTAGTTTCGCCCCCATTCTATAGATGAATGCCTATGCACATGCGCAAACTGAGAAAAAATGAAAAAAACCCCACCGACACACACTCCTGTGCGTCGATAGTGTAGATGCCGGTGAGCGACGTGACTCTGTGGTAAAGCGGGATAAGGGAGGTAAGTGTGATCGTGATTATCCAGATCAAATATAATCCGGTTAGAACCGGAGCAGTTTAACCCGCTCTCAGCACGCTGTCTGACCGCACCCATTAGGTACTTTTAGTACTAGTACCAAAGAATGAGTTCTGAATTTCAGAGTAGAGGGATTTTTTTTAATCTATGTGAGCTGTAGAGACTAATACAAAATCTATAAATAATCCTGTGTCCTCACAATTAAAATACAAATCAACCCCAAAGTAAGTACAGTGGAAGATGGTATCTATGTATGTGAGCGAGAGAGGGAAGGAGGGTGGGAAAATGATGTGTTGGGGTGAAGAAAATCAACAAAATAATGTGAAGCCAATGCCAAATAAATTAGTCACACTTAATGGGAATTTAATTGTAACTAACATTGATTTCAGTGGAACTTAAGCACACAACTAACTTCTTTGGGTATACATTGTAATATGTAGTGTTAAATAACGTTTTATAATATTGCCTTGTACTTATATTTGCTATAGGGCTGCCAAGCCGCTTCGGGGGATCTGCTGTTACTCACAGGATCCCTGCCGCGGGGGACAGAGATACACGCTGCACAGCCGTCGCCAGGATGTGACGCTATGCGTCGCTCTGGCAACGGGACTCCAAACAGCCCCGTTGCTAGAGCGACACGTAGCGTCACATCCTGGCAACAGCGGTGCAGCGCGTATCGCTGTCCCCCGCGGCAGGGATCCTGTGAGTAACAGCAGATCCCCCGAAGCGGCTTGGCAGCCCTAAATTGCTATTCCTTGGACAACATGATTTTCCCATTACAGTTGTGGCTGTTTTAATTGATTTAGGCTGCAGTCCAAAGGACACTTACCTGGAAGTAAGCCCCACTGAATAACATGGGACTTGCTTCTGAGTAGACCTGCTCAGGGTTACTTCCTGAATTAGTCTTGTGTGTCACTGAAGACATTTATAGCTTTCTTCTGTGTACTTACTTTACAACAAATATATTCTGGAATGACCACTGAATTTTCTTGAGTATTATAGAATTTAATATGTGTGGGTATTATGTTCGTACATTGATCTGTTTAATCCAGAGAATGTAAATGATGTGTAGAAAATGCTTCTCTGTGTGCATTCCCCTTACTAGGCATGTAAAAACCAGCTTGGGGTGGGATGATAGCCGGAAACCGATAATGCACTCTGGCCACAGATATATCTGTACTATATTGCTGTGTCCTCTCCCCAACCTTTAGTTGTCTAAAGGTTTTTGTTGCCCTCTGCAGTGTTCGGAATCACTCCAGATCATATCACTGAGTTTATTTGCTTCTCTCCCCTGTATGCGTACCTTCAACTGCCTATTGCAGTAATGCTGCCCTGGAACTAATTTATATGCTTACACATCATTAGGTGAAGGAAGGGATGATGTTATAAGCAATTCCCAGACTCATGTCCTGAACTTTCTGGATTTCTAGTGAGTGGGAGCATTGTGCTAAATACAAGGGGGAATGGAATTTTAGCTACTTATATTTGTTTCTTACATAAAAGAGGGTGTATGTTCTGTACCCGATTTGAGAACATAATGAACTAAGACTTAACTTTATAGTTAAGTCAGAGTTCACATCTGTTTGTAGTCTTCTGTATGGCCTGTTACTCTGCTTTCTTCATTGCATCTTCCTTCTTTCTTTTGCACATGCTTAAATTCTTCTGTTTGGCCTCCTCATTACATATACTTTCACCCTCAAACCCCTTTGCACATTTGCCCCCTTTTAAACTTGTTAATGTTTGTGTGTCTTTTGTGTTCATAGTTTGGTTTTGTGTAACTAGAAAAGTAGTGTTGACTGACCTTTTTTTGGGGGGGGGGGAGAACACAGCCCTCTAAAGGAAAAGATGGCTATAAACTTGCAGGGTTAAATATTTTGTGTGTGTGCACACACGTGCATGTACAGGTAGGAGAAGGCTAGAATTGAATGGATGATTGGAGTAGACTAGGCAAAACTACAGTTTTGCCCATGGTACAAAGGGTTGTATTAAACTCAGTGTCCCTAAATATTGAACCACATTGATGGATTTGTATTTAGTGCCATATAATATGACAGCCTAGGCTTACTTACAAATTCTATAGCTTTCGTCTGGTATTTCTTACTCTTTCCTTTTCTCCTTATTGCTTAACTGGAAGCCCACCTAACTCTTCTTGAGGTATGTCAGTATGTTGAGTCCAAAATTGGAGAAACTGCATGTACTGTACTATATACAGTATACCTGTACTGTATACAATCCCACTCAGCAGCCTTGTTTGAGGTTTCCTCTGTTCTACTGAGCTAGGAGAGTTGGGCAGAAGTACAGAACTGATTACACACCTAGTCAGATCCATTAAAAAACTGCTACTGCATGTGCCGTAACTTGGTCACACATTTTACAGTTTCTGATGCTAAAGGCTGTCCTGGGCACTTGTATACTTTCTTTTTGGTTGCCTGAGGCCCTGTTATAATCATTTCCAATTCCCCTCCATGCACCAGTGTACCATGTGACTTTCCATGGTCTGCAGGGTTTTCCGTACTTTGTCAGCACTGCAGTTGAATAAATGCAGTACAGTGCTGAGATGTGTGGATTTCTAAATATATGTATGCCATTTTTCTCCGAAGTTTCTAGTAGTTGTGTAAGTTGTAGGGGAGGGGGAATATACACCATGTAGCTGCCATATGGGGTCACATTTCTCTGTTTAGGGGGAATTCAGTGGAAGTTTAGAGAAGTCAATGAAACCGGTTGGTGGGGAAGGGAACACAATTGTGTAGTTGGCCACTGAGAGCTTGCCATGTATTTTGGCATATATCTTACATTTTCTAATGACTTTAAATTGTATAGTGATACAATTTAAACTGTACATTTGAATGGATTGTAAACTTAGTATGTTCAAAGATGACCAGAATAAAAGTTTGATGATGTCTGTGTTTTATTTGAAGTTTTTTGTCTTTTGTTTTTAACCAGAAGGATTTATGTTACTGCAAGTCAGGCTTCTTATTCAAAACAAACAAGTGTTCTTGTAGTTCAATACTGAACCCTGTTCACTGTTTTGAAATATATTTCTTCCCTGATGCAAAATGCTGCCTAAAATTCACAAGGGAAGAAAGTCTCTAGTCAACTACTTGCTATGACAGAATTCTATTTTTTTCTGATTGTCAGTGAAATTCTTCTCTAATAAAATCTTTATCTTTTGTCTTTGCTGCCTTGCAGGGTTGGTACAGTAGGCCTCACTAGACTTAGCTGCAACTAAGAATTTCTCCTACATCAACAAAGTTAATGGTGATGGTCTTGTGGATTGTCGAATAAAAGTGCGCACTAAGTATTTAAGAAGCGGATAAAACAAATTTGTCTTCTCAAAGTTTGTACCACAACTACTGCCATCAAGACAGCAAACCAATGGACAAAGAATTTGATCCACAGTATTTGTAAAAGTAAACTGATTTGTCTTACTAAGGCTCGAGGTCTGTGACCTGGACTTGAACACTGGAAATTACTTTATTTACAAAGATGAGGGCGGCTTTGGAACCAGCAGACATTGCCATTGTGGTGTTGTATTTTGTTCTTGTGCTGTGCATAGGCTTTTTTGCCATGTGGAAATACAATCGAAGCACTATAAGTGGGTACTTCCTGGCAGGACGATCTATGACATGGGTAGCGATTGGTGCTTCCTTGTTTGTGAGCAACATTGGGAGTGAACACTTCATTGGGCTTGCAGGATCTGGAGCAGCAAGTGGATTTGCAGTAGGGGCATGGGAGTTCAACGCCTTAATGCTTTTGCAGCTCTTAGGATGGATCTTTGTTCCTGTCTACATACGATCTGGAGTATACACCATGCCAGAATACTTGTCCAAACGTTTTGGAGGGCATAGAATTCAAGTATACTTTGCAGTGTTGTCTCTGATTCTATATATTTTTACCAAACTTTCAGTAGACTTGTATTCAGGTGCATTGTTTATTCAAGAATCTCTAGGCTGGAATCTTTATTTGTCAGTTACACTGTTGATTGGAATGACTGCTGTGTTGACAGTGACTGGGGGTCTTGTTGCAGTTATCTATACAGACACTGTTCAAGCTTTGCTTATGATTATTGGTGCCCTCACACTTATGGTCATAAGTATTACAGAAGTTGGTGGGTTTGAAGAAGTTAAAAGAAGGTACATGTTAGCATCACCGAATATTACAGCAATCATGCTGACATACAACCTTTCAAATACAAATTCCTGTCATGTTGACCCAAAGCCTGATGCACTGAAAATGTTGCGGGAACCAACCGATGAAGACGTTCCTTGGCCTGGGTTCCTTTTTGGACAGACTCCAGCCTCTGTATGGTACTGGTGTGCAGACCAAGTAATTGTTCAGAGGGTTTTAGCAGCAAAAAATATTTCTCATGCCAAAGGCTCTACCCTAATGGCAGGCTTTCTAAAGCTTTTGCCTATGTTCATTATAGTTGTTCCAGGTATGATTTCACGAATACTGTTTGCTGATGAGATTGCATGTATTAATCCAGAACATTGCATGCAAGTTTGTGGAAGCAGAGCTGGATGCTCTAACATTGCCTATCCACGTTTGGTTATGCAGCTTGTTCCTGTTGGTCTGCGAGGACTTATGATTGCTGTAATGATCGCTGCATTAATGAGTGATTTGGATTCTATATTTAACAGTGCCAGTACCATATTCACACTTGATATCTACAAACTCCTCATACGCAAGAATGCATTGTCTAAAGAACTAATGATTGTAGGAAGGATGTTTGTTGCTTTCATGGTAGTTATAAGCATTGCTTGGGTCCCAATAATTGTGGAAATGCAAGGAGGCCAAATGTATCTCTATATTCAAGAGGTAGCAGATTATTTGACTCCACCAGTGGCTGCTCTGTTTCTTTTGGGCGTGTTTTGGAGGCGTTGCAATGAGCAAGGCGCCTTCTATGGTGGAATGGTTGGATTTGTCCTGGGAACTGTACGACTGATACTGGCATTTGTCTATCGTGTTCCTGAATGTAACCAACCTGACACTAGGCCAGTCTTCATCAAAAGTATCCACTACATGTATGTTGCTACTGCATTGTTCTGGATCACTGGAATTGTGGCTATAGTTGTAAGCCTTCTTACAGCACCACCTTCAAAGGAGCAAATCAGGACAACCACATTCTGGTCTGTGAAAAACAGGACTGTAAAGGAAAGCACTTCAGCAGAGGATTCATTCAAAGCACAAGAGAAGACCATCTTAAAATACAATGAAAAAATCTCTTCAAATGGTAAATCTGAGGAAAATGTTAAAAGTGATCAACCTGAAAATATCAATCTTTTAATTACTTGCACAGATGACATCAATCCAGTGATTTCTGTAAGTAACTCTGAAGTTGAGACACCCGTAGATTGCTATTCTAATGGACAAGCAGCTCTTATGGGTGGAAAGAAGACTGAGGAAGAGACCGAAAGTAGTGACAAACACTGGAAATTCATAAATTGGTTTTGTGGCTTTAAAAGTAAAAACATGAGCAAAAGAGACAACCACGATAAGGAAGAAGAAGAGAGTGTTTGTCTACAAATGCTGGAAGAGACTCCAAAAGTTAAATTACTACTAAATACTGGACTAGTTTGTGTGTGCTCAATTGGAATATTCATGTTTGTTTATTTCTCTTTGTGAGTGAATGAGGAGTTTAAGGGTATGGTCAAAAAATACAAATAGAGATATTAGTCCTTGGAAAAATATTTATGTATCTATATCATATGTGTGTGTGTGTCTGTCATACATCTCAGGCATCTTTTACACTATTAATGTCAGCCAAATTATTTTTCAACCAGTATGAGAAAGATTTTGCTATAGTGCAGAATGTTGAGGGATTTATAGTGCCATCCTAAGCAGAGTTGCAGCCTTCTAATCCTGTTGAAGTCAGTGGGCTTAGAATGGTGTAATTTTGCTCAGAAACGCACTGTTAGTGCAGTACTAAAGGGTGGATTTGAAGATACCAAAGTAAAAAGAAATCTGTGGTTTTTGAAGGTGGAATGTGAAAGCTCCCAGTCAAAGGTTAAGCAAAAGTTAACAGTTGTGTTGATATTACAATTTAACACTTCAACAAGATTTTAACTGTGAAGAATGCTTTAGAATATTTTGAATCCCAGAAGTCATGTCCTGGGTTATTCAGATTACTTTTATTTTTTTCTTCATTTGTATTCTTCAAATACCAGATCTAATAGTGTTTCCAACAAATCAAGATGGTCCTCCACATGGTTTTTATCTGATCTCTTGGTATTTCAAATGACCTGAAGATCTGTGTGGCAGAATCCTAAAATTGCTTCTCCTTTCTAGATAAAAATCAAATATTAAAAAACCCAGTTCTTTTGCTTACCTGTATTTGATGTCCAGTTAGCAATGAATAACAGCAGAGCATTGATATAAGGATCTGGTCCAGAAATCTGATGTGACTTGTTATCAGAATGTTGATGACACCCCACTCTACATCTCATCAGAGTCAGGTGGATAAAATATGTTCTGAACAAGTGCTTGGAAATGGTAATAGCCTGGATGAAGAATAATAAAGTGGATATCAGTCCAGACAAGGCTGAGATGATTCTTGTTGACAGTAGCCAGATTCTTAGGCACAGACTAGCCTGTGCCTGCTGATGGAGGTCCCCTCTGCTGTGTAGAGAGTCTTTAATCAGCTTTGGGTGGTCGACTAAGCTATTCCTTGAACAGCAAGATGTGGTCACAGTTCTTCATGCTCTGACCACATCCAGGTTAGATTGCTATAACTTGCTGTATGTGGGGCTGCCTTTAAATACTAGAAACTTCACATTGTTCAGAATGCAACAGCAAGACTACTAACTGACATAGGATATCTTAACATTCTTAAACTTCACTGGCTGTTAGATTGTTTCAGGGCACTATTCAGAACAATGGTTCTTTTCTTTAAAGTGCTAAATAGTCTGAGACAAAAAGTATTTTGAGACTGTGTATTCCTATATGAATCTGCCAATTAACATCTGTTTTGGAGGTCCCTGTTCTGTTTGCCCCTTACTTGGATGGACCAGACATACACACATATCTGATCAGACATTCCACTGAACACAGAGGCGGGGTTAGTGGGCACTGCCTTGCTTCCCTCTCTGGCCATTCAGTGTGTACATGATCAAATGTGTGAACAGAGCTATAGAGGAAGACTAAAATGTCTTGCATACACTTCTTGAAAAGCACCTTCTGGTGCCAAGGAGCCTCTCTGTTTTTTTGAGGCCAGGAAATGTGTTTTAAGATTGTACTCAATTTTTTAGCAAGAGGTGTGTTTCTGTAGCTAGAGGTATAGTAATAAGAGCTGAGAGGTCTCAAATCTAATTATTAAAAAGTGCTTCTTTCTGTTAATTATACCTCCAAATGCTCAACTCAGATCAGGGCTCTTGGAGTAGTTTACAACGGTCAGACTGGGAAAGTGTTATTGGTAGTGTTGCCATCCTTAATCATGTTGCTGTGAGAGAAATCACAGTGCTTCAGCAGAATCCCTTGGTTAGTAAGGTGACACTTGTTATTACCTGGCGGTAGAATATGATAAAAGATGCACACACAGAACTATTGGTTTGAACCTCGTTTAGCTGTTGTAATGTAACAAGCAGAATGCCCTGTAACACACTACTAGAGAAACTTCACAGCAAGTAATGAGAAACTGAGAGGTTCCCTGGTATACTAGGCTAAGCCTCTGCTTAAACCAGTGGCCTTCCAGGACTAAAGGGAGCGAATGAGATCTGCCACATTTTGGAAAGGTTACTAAGTAGGAAGGTGTTGCTGTGTTATGCTGGCACTTGCAGAAATGACTGTGTTGAATGCATTGCCAGCTGTTCTGTGCAGGTGGGCTAGCTCAGGGATCCTTTGTATGGCTCCCACCCTTTGCTCTTCCCCTAGATGCCTTGTATAAACTAAGCCATGTTTCAGGCCTTACTGCCACAGTAAAATAGCAATGTCCAATATTCCTTCTGTCTTAATCCCAACTATTTTAATACTTATACAGTATTGTGAATGTATGGCATAATTTATTTTGGTTTGGTTTGGCTTTATGTTGACTCTTCATGTAATACTGCCATAGTTCAAGTGATAATACTCTGTGTATTCTCCTTAATACTGGTCCATTTGACAGTTCAGACAGCAGCACAGAACGTTGCCAAGGTTCAAGGAAGAAAATTACCTGCTAGTTGACATGTATATGGATCTTCAAAAATTTGCTTTCCCTAGTAATCTGTACTTGGTTTGTGTGGCCAACAATATTGTCTGTTCAATAAGGCAGCTACTGTTGGTTTTCTTGGGATATGTTTACTTCCCCTTCCTTTTGAGCATGGATTGTCAGGTTCTAACCCAGAATCCCTGCCTATAATTTAATTTAGATCCAGTTGGTCAGCCATGTTGGTCTGAAGCAGTACAACAAATTTAGAGTTCAACGGCACCTTTAAGTCAAAGGTAGTTAGGGAATGCAGCAGCGGGACAACTCTAATTCAGATTACCGTAGCAGTTGGGGAAAATATGGAGAGGCGTAGTGTGTTCCTCAGATGGTGGGGAGAGAGGAACTGTTACTACATACCATTGTGTGCTGCACAAAGGTGATAAGTATAGTCTTCATGATGAAACATGGCCATGATATCTCCTGCTATTGAATTGTTTAGCAGAAAAATATTTGGCGTGTAGCTTATGTGGTATCCTCTGATTCAGTCCTTCAGTGGCTACAAGAACCATATTTAATTGGGATTCTCGTATTCCTTCCTTTCTATTATTTCTTTATTGTGTCTACTGAATATTTCTCCTAGAATACATTGTAATTATGCTTTTTCCTTAAAGTAAGAAAGTAAGTGTGTGGTAGCTTGTTGCAGTGCCTTTTAGTAGCAAAATATAACCTTGTTAGGTTAGTGCATCTCATCTGTGATGAAAATACTTCCCTGATTCTTTGCATTTTTACCGATGCCATGAAGGAGCATTATATTTTTCTAGATACCTCTTTGTGTCTTTTCTAATTTTTAAGGCTAAAGCCGACTTCACAGCAGGTTGTAGCTTAAGCTAAATATTAATGCTTATTGCTTGGTAGTCATGATTTGGTTTGCTTTCAAAGAAGATCTGGGTATGTAGAATAATTAGTAGCAAATATACTTTATTCTTCAGAGATGTTTCTTCAGATTTCTGCTTGTGTAGCCCTCTGATATATAATAATTCTGAGTAGTGCTAAGCATAACCCTTAAGAGAAAATAGTTTAGCAAATCATAATTCTTTTGCTTCCTAACCATAGAAGTTTATATAACTTTGCTATTGGGACCAGTGTTCCCTCTAAGCTGAGTTAGTGTGAGCTAGCTCACAGTTTTTTAGCCTCTGGCTCACACATTTTTGTCTTAGCTCAGGAAGGATGACTCCAGAGCAAACTAATTTATGCAGTAGCCAAATTGCTCGCTCACAACTTTAGTGCCAGTAGCTCACAAAGTAGAATATTTGCTCACAAGCCTCCACAGCTTACAGGGAGCATTGATTGGGACCCTATTTATTGTCAGTTTTGCTAAGTGGGAGCTGTTTTAATAGTAAATGTTCAAACTTACAAACTGTAAAATCTTTGCTCCTTTTCATTATCCCTGCTGTTGAACAGAATTTCCAACACTTGGTGGTGGAGGAAAGTGTTGTCAAGTTGCAGCCAATGTATGGCGACCCCACAGGATTTTCAAGACAAGAGACATTCAGAGATGGTTCGCCTGCCTCTGCATAGCAACCCTGGACTTCCTTGGTAGTCTCCCATCCAAATACGACCCAGGGCCCACCTTGTTTCCAAGAACTGATGAAACTGGGTTAGCCTGGGCCACCCAGGTCAGGGCACTTTCCAATATGTCCTGTCTTTTAAACTATTCTAGAAATACCGTAGATTGGTTTCATTCCATAAATACGCTTCTTGGTCTTGTGATTTTCAGTGTAGATTAGAAGAGACCCCCAATAGTAGTATTTATTAAGATTCTTTTTTCTGGAAGAGGCGCACTGCAAAGGGACTACTTCCTATAAACTGCTACTGGTTCATAGGACCTAAGCTTTTTGGCTATAGCCTAGACTCGGGACCATGTAAGAATTCCATCAATGGACCTCTTTGTTGTGTAGGAGTTCATTCTGGACTTCTGTTGGCAATTTATTGCCTTGCACATGAACATGACACTTGATCAAGACTAATTCAGACGTTCATAGCTTACTTTAAAATGATGTTAGATTCAGGTGAGTACCTGTGTTGGTCTGAAGCAATAGAACAAAGTTGGAGTCGAATGGCACCTTTAAGACCAACAAAGTTTAATTCTGGGTGTAAGCTTTTGTGTGCATGTATGTGTGTATGCATTGTGCAAGAGGTTGGACCAGATGACCCTGAAAGTCCCTTCCAACTCTGATTCTATGTGTCTGAAGAAGTGTGCATGCACACAAAAGCTTATACTCAGAATTAAACTTTGTTGGTCTTAAAGGTGCCAGTGGACTCAAACTTTGTTTTAAAATGTGTATCTTTAAAAAAAATCATTTGCATATTTAAATGGACAAGATAATAATAGCTTTATTTTGTAAAGTATGAGGGCTTTTTTTTTTGCACTGTAGTCAGAGAAAGATATAGTTCTCTGTGTTGGGAAGATATTGTAAAAATTCCCTTTCTTACCAAAGCTTGT